GGGCGTAATGAAGAACCTTTCTTTTTGTGTGTGTGTGTGTGTGTGTGTGAAACAAACTTACAAAACCCCCACAAAACAAAAGATTCTGAATCCATAGCAACATAGCCAACTTTTCAGTGCATAATTTGCATATTTATTCATATAGTAGAGTATCCGTGGCAAGAGAAGACTAAATAATTTGTCAGAGATGTTAAAATGTTCTTAATATGCTGCAATGCTGGAGTGATGGTACAGCAAACGAGTGCATCTGATTTTTATTTTTTTTGCATAGCAGACACCAGACAGTGTAATGAATGTAAAGTGAAGGATATTTAAATGAGTTATTCACCTTTGTGTCCTACGAAGCAATGTCTGCAATATGAAATATGAATAAATGCACAACAAATTGGATATCTAATTAGCGATTCGTCCATATAAGTCATCTGATTAAATTACTTGTGTATATCATAATCCGTTTGTGTAGCATTAATTTTCACTTCATTTTAAATGATAATTAGTCTATAATTGGAAAAACTGCAGAAATTGAACTCAGGAGGGAAATATTCAAACCACTACATTTCATTAAGCATGCACGTAGGATTCATAAATGAATATGTTAATTAGAGCCAATGCTCCGTCTCACTGTAAAATAACACCCTGGCCTCTCTCTTGTTATGCTACATCTGTAGTAAACCTGTCAGACCCCATTCTGCTCTACATACACCCCACAACGCCCTCCTCCACTTTGAACTGAGAATGAGGATCCTCGAAAATCCATATTAAACAAATATGGAATGAGCAAACCCAGACAGAAGAAGAAAGAAACAAACAGCAAGAACACCTGCCTTTTCCATAGACATTTCAGTCACTGAACCAACTAAGATTCATATATAAAACATACTGACAGAATACAGTCAGGCCTTGCTGTCAGACATACAGTGGGCACAGAAAAGAAATGCCCCCCCTTTACAATTAGGGCTGCCCGGATGTGACAAATCATAATTTTCGATTATTCCCTTGAAATTGTAATTGTGATTATTATGATTATCACAATTTATAATAATCACAATTTGAATGATGTTTATAACAGTTTGAAGCAACTCCATGCCATATTTTTATATGAACATTAACAAGCTGAAAACACTCAAACTGAAAAAACTTGTATTGCTTTTCTATAGTATTAAGCCTCAAATGTCAACTATACATTGGATTGGTTTCTTCTTTAAATAAAACTAAAAATATGCATGGTATTATAATGTTATACTAAAACTAAAATGAAAACAATAGAAAAACTCTTAAGATAACCTGTAGAAAGAAAAACAACACACATTTAAAGCACACAGAATAACATAAGTGGAACATTGCCGCTTCGAACGTTTACATAATTATGGCATCCGTAATTGTAATCGCGATTAGAAATTTGATTAATTGTGCAACCCTATTTACATTAATCACATTTTGTTGCTTTGCAGCCTAAAATGAAGACACAGTTTTTGTTTTATCCAGCTGTATTTACTCCGTGCAACT